CCCTTAAAAAAAGGGACACAGTTAAAGGAAATGAATAAATCCCCTAAAGAGACCTATGGAAACACACAGAGTGGAAGGAAATGAGTAAAATCATTTAAGACCTGAAAGCGCAAATAGAACCAACAAAGAAAATCCAAACTGAGGGAATTCTGGAAACGAAAAATTTAAGAACTAGGACAGGAACCACGGAGGCAAGTTTCAAGAACAGAATACAAGGACAGATGAGACAATCTGAGGCATTGCAGACACAATGGAAGAAATGGATACCTTGGTAAAAGAAAATGTTAAATCTAAAAACTCCTGGAACAAAGCATCCAAAAAATCTGGGACACTATGGAAAGACCAAGTCTAAGAATAATAGGCACAGAGGAAGAAGAAATACAGTTCAAATCAACCAGAAAACATTTTCAACAAAATTACAGAAGAAAATTTCTCTAACCTAAAGAAGGAGATGCCTATCAAAGTATAAGAAGAATACAGAATATCAGACTGGACCAGAAAAGTTCCCTTAGCCTTTAATCAATACACTAAGCATGCAGAACAAAGAAAGAATATTAAAAGCTGCAAGGGAAAAAGACCAAGCAACATAGAAAGGCAGACTTACTAGAATTTCACCTGACTGATCAGTGAAAACTCTAACAGCCAGAAGGGCAGATGTGTTAACAGACTCTAAGAGACACAGATGCCAGCCCAGAACACTATAGCCCAGTAAAACTCCCAATCACCATAGATGGACAAAATAAGACATTCCACGATAAAACCAAATATAAACAATACCTATCTATAAATCCAGAACTACAGAAGGTGCTAGAAGGTAAACTCTACCTAAAGAGGCTAATTACATTCAAGAAAACATAGTGAATAAATAATCCCAAACCAGCAAAGTTACAAGACACACACAAATACACCACCACCACCACCACCACCACCACCAGCAGCAGCAGCAGCAGCAGCAGCAGCAGCAGCAGCAGCAGCAGCAGCAGCAGAGAAATCAGTAGTCACCGGTCACTGACATCTATTAACATCCATGTTTCCACTTCCCCAATAAAAAGACAAAGCCTAGAAACACACCATAGCATTAAGGATAGATATCACCTCAGCTTAAAAAAACAGAAAAAAGATATTCCAGCAAAAGTATAGAAGAACCTGGTGTAGCCATTTTAATATCTGACAAAATAGACTTCAAACCAAAACTAATCAGAAGAGATAGCTAAGGACACTACACATCCATCAAAGAAAAAATCCAAGAGGACAGAGGACATTGCCATTCTCAATATCTATGTTACAAATACAAGAGTACCCAAGTTTGTAAAGAAACACTTCTACAGCTTCAGTCACAAATTGCCCCTCATGCACGAACAGTGGGAGACTTCAATGCTCCACTCTCACCAATAGACAGGCCACTCAGACAAAAACTAAACAGAAACGCTGGAGCTAACTGATGGTATAAACCAAATGAACCTAACTGATATTTACAGAACATTTCACCCAAACACAAAAGAACATACTCTTTCCACCTCATAGAACTTTCTCCAAAATTGACCATATACTCAGACACAAAACAAGTCTCAAAAGAAAATGGAAACAACACCTGCATCCTATCTGACCACCACGGATTAAAGCTGGATTCCAACAACAGAAACAACAGAAAGCTTACAAACTTATGCAAACTGAACAACACTCTACTGAATGAAAAATGGGTCAACAAACAAATTAGGAGAAAATGAAAAGACTTTCTAAAATTGAATTAAAACGAATACACAACATACCAAACTTATGGAATACAGTGAAAGTGGTTTTAAGAAGCAAGTTCAAAGCACTAATTTCATAAAACAAAACAAACAAAAATCTGGAGAGATCTCATACTAGCAATTTAACACACCTGATAGTTCTAGAACAAAAAGAAGAAATCACAAAACAAATGAGTAAACAGCAAGAAATAATCAAATTCAGAGCTGAAATCAATAAAATGAAAACAAAAAAAAATCAATGAAACAAAGTTGGTTCTTTGAGAAAAATCAAAGAACCCTTTTCCAAATGATCTAAGGTATCTAAGATCTTACCTTCTCTAAGGTAGAGAAAGAAGATTCAGATTAACAAAATTGGAGTATCCTACTAAAAGCAATCAGCAAATTCGATGCAGTCCCTGTCGAAATTCCAACACATTTTTTTTCAAAAATCTTGAAAGTACAATTCTCAACTTCATATGGAAACATATACACTCACAAAATCAGAATATCTAGGTGTCACCATTCCAGATTTCCAGTTGAAATACAAAATTATATTAATAAAAACAACATGCAATTGGTACAAAAACAGACATCTTGATCAATGGAATCAAGTTGAAGACCCAGACATATCCTTACACCTATAGACACCTGATTTTTAATAAAGAAGCCAGAAATACACCCTGGAAAAACAGACAGCATCTTCAACAAATGGTGCTGGTCAAACTAGATGGCTCCATGTTGAAGAATGCAAATAGACCACACTTATCGCTCTGCACAAAAATCAAGTCCAAGTGGATCAAATACCTCAACATAAATCCAGATACACTGAACTTGACAGAAGAGAAAGTGGGAAATAGCCTTGAACTCAATGGCACAGGAGACAACTTCCTGAACAGAACACTGATAGCACTGGAGCTAAGATCAACAATCAATAAGTGGACCTCCTGAAACGGAAAAGCTTCTGTAAGGCAAAGTACACCGTCAATAGGATAAAACAGCAGTCCACAGAAAGGTCAAAATTTTTTTTTTACCAACTTCAATCCAATAGGGGACTAATATCCAAATATATAAAGAACTCAAGAAACTAAGTATCAAAAAAATCCAATTTAAAAATGGGGTACGGATTTAAACAGAGAATTTACAACAGAAGAATCTCAAATGGCTGAGAAAGACTTAAAGAAATATTCAACATCCATAGCCATCACGGAAATGTAAACCAAAACAACTTTGAGATTCTATACCTGTCAGAATGGCTAAGATCAACAACACAAGTAACAGGTTATGATGGCCAGGATATTGCTGGTGGGAGTGAAAACACACACAGCCACTCTGGAAAGCAGTGTGGTGGTTTTCAGGAAAATAGTAATCAATCTAGCTCAAAATCTCATCTACTACTCTTGGACACATATTCAAAGGATGCTTCATCCCACCTCAGGGACACCTGCTCAACTGTGTTCATTGCTTGTCTATTTATATTAGCTAGAAATTGAAACAACCTAGACGGCCCTCGACAGTAGAATGGATAAAGAAAATGTGGAACATTTACACAATGGAATATTATTCAGCTGTTAAAAAATGATATCATGAGCCTGGCGATGTGGCACACGCCTTTAATCCAGCACTCGGGAGGCAGAGGCAGGCGGATCTCTGTGAGTTCGAGGCCAGCCTGTTCTACAGAGCAAGTTTCAGGACAAGCTCCAAAGCTACAGAGAAACCCTGTCTCAAAAAAAAAAACCAAAATAATAATAATAATAATAATAATAATAATAATAATAATAACGAGACTTGCAGGCAAATGGATAGAAGTAGAAAAATCATTCTGGCTGAGGTATCACAGAGCCAGAAAGACAAATATAGTATGTTTTCACTTATATGTAGAGAATAGCTGTTAAGTCAATGACACCCAATCTACAATCCATAAAATCAGAGATTAGGTATAGAGTATGGGACTAAGGGAGACAAATATTATGAAAAGGAAACAGAATAAATAATTAATGGATTTGTGGTGGGCTGGAATGGGAAAATCAAGTAGGGAGGGGGAACAGCAAGACTAGAGAAGGAATATGGGGAGAAATAGCTAAAATTAAGGTACATTTGAAGGGTAGTTTTGAAACCTAATACAGTAGACGTGTCCTAAAATATATATAAAGGTAATCTAAATGAAATTGCCAAATAATTGGGAAGACTGAGTCCCAACTGGCCATCTCTCCTCACCAAATGAAGCTTCTAGGCTTGGTATTGGGTTACATCTAATTAAGTTGTTGTTGGCCAAAGGGGATCCCATGCAAATCTTCAAACAACCCAGGCTGTTGTCAAGACAATAGATTGTGTTCCATAAAAATGACAGCAAGTTCTCATTGCTGAAGACAACACCTACACAACTCACTGAAGATGGAGAAGTCAAGCTGATGCCTACACAGAGCCTTCACCCCATGTTCCAATGTCTTCAGTACATTCTGCACAATATCAAAAGACAAACAAACACCAACCCAACCACAAAACCTTTGATCTACAATGGGGTCCTGTCTGCAAGATACGCTTGGGCAGTGGTGGAACAAAGCTTGTGGGAGTCACCAACAAAAATCTGATTTGACTTAAAGCCCACTCCACAAGATGCAAGCCATACTGACACTGATTAGGTGACCAATAACCTGAGACTAGATAGAGACGTAGGGTAAAACCAAATACTACTGATCAAATAAATAAATGAATGAGTGAATAAATGAGTAGATAAATAAATAATGTAGTGATAAAATGACTCCTAATGACATTCTGCTGCACTCACATATCAGTGCCTTATTCAGCCATGGTCAGAGAAGCTTCCTCCTGCAGCAGATGGGAGCAAATACAGAGACCCAGAGCCACACGTCATGTGGAGAGTGGGAGACCGTGAAACAGTCTTAAACAGGATATCTTTATAAACTCCCTCCCCTTAGAACTCAGAGACCCCTGTGGAAGAGGAGGCAAAGAGAGTTTAAGAGCCAGAGGGGATGGGGGATACCAAGAAAACAAGGTCCTCTAAATAAACATGAGTGAAGCTCATATGAACCCAGAGACTGAAGCAGCAGCATGCACAGGGCCTGTATGGGCCTGCATCAGGGCCTCTGTGTATATGTTATGGTTTCCAGTATCGTGTTTTTATGGGATTCCTGAGTGTGTGGAATAGTGGGTCTGTTTCTTTTTTTTGTTTTGTTTTGTTTTTTTTTCGTTTATATAATTTTATTTGGAAAGGGCCACAACAGCACAGCGACACTAAACTGCAGACGACGATGATGTCATCGGTGCAGGGCACCATCAGTTTATTATAAAAGGAGGCACGGAAATTATTTACATGATGCGGAGCTCAAAACGTCGGCGGAATGGGCAGCTTCTCGTGATCAGTCCACGTACTTCCCAAGAATGTCACCGTCTCTAAACAAGAAATAATCCTTGTCGTCTAGAACCACTTTGGTGCCTCCGTACTCTGGGAGAAGAACTTTGTCTCCAACCTTCACGCTGACTGGTTGAATCTCTCCACCCTTTCCTTTCGCGCCTGATCCCACAGCCACTACCGTTGCTTGTAGTACTTTCCCTTGCGACTTTTCTGGAAGCATGATGCCACCTTTGCAGCGGCGGCCTGAGCGCAGAGTCCGAGCGGCGGAGGCGGCGGCGCGAGACATGGCTGGACAGGCTTTCCGAAAGTTTCTCCCGCTCTTTGACAGAGTCTTGGTTGAAAGGAGTGCCGCCGAAACGGTGACCAAAAGTGGGTCTGTTTCTTATGCCTTCTCTTGGGCTCTTTTCTCAGTTTGTTTATCTTGTACAATTTCAATGTGTTATTTTTGCTTTATCTTATTGTATTTTATTATATTATTTAAAAAATGATGGAGCTATAAGCAGGCCTGTAGGACATTTTCTTAATTAGTAATTGATAGGAAGGATCCAGTCCATTGTTGGTGGTACCCCTGGGGTGCTGGTCCTAGGTCCTATAAGAAAGACTGAGCAAGCCAGGAAGAACAAGCCAGTACCCGTTTATAGAAAACTCTTCTGCATCAGCTCCTTCCTCCAGGGTCCTTCCCTAATTAAGTCCCTGCTCTTGCTATTTTTGGAAGTGTTATATAGAAGTATGACTAAAATAAGCCCTTCCCCTCCCCACTCCCACAAAAGAAAGCTTCTACATAGAGATATTCAGAGCACCTTCTTCCCTACTGCAAAAATAAAAAACAAAACAAAAAACAAACAAACAAAAAACGGGAAGCAATCAAGATGATTATCAGTAGCTGAACTGATTTAAAAAGTGACGTATCTAGAGAATGGATTATTGTCCTCTAAAAAAAAGGAATGAGCTATCCACATTAAAGGATTTTTTATTTTTTTATTGTGTGTATTTATGTGTTTTTGTGTACATGTAGATGTCAGAGGAAAACCAGGTCTCTCTACCACATGTGACCCGAAGATGAAATTCAAATCTTCCAGCTTGTGGAACAAGCACGCTTATCCACTGAGATATCTCACCAGCTCTAGTGAATCTTTTTGCTTCTTTTTCTTTAAATACAGGGTTTGCGGCAGTGAAAGGATTCTACATGGTAGCATAATGGTGGGTAAATACCAGTGTGCATGCTTTCAGCTCATGGATTATGTATGCAGCTTAATATGCACAATTTCTAAGAATCATTTACATGCTTGAGGACCCCAGGATGGAATGAAGTAAGTAACAAGAGAAACTATTTGTATCGCAAGTTTATGAACCAGCATCACCTATGGGGTAAGGGAGGAAGATTCCACCCTAAGTAACGTAGAAATGAGCACAACCTCTATGAACAAAGACAAAAGGGCCGGTGCATAGATCCTGCTGGCTGTTACAGTTGCTGATCATGGCGGGTCCTTGTTAACAAGCCTGAAAGCACTAGGCATGCATGCTGGAAAAGAAGAGTTCAGTAGAAAATAACAGATAATGCGGGGTAGCTTTCTCACTGTCAGAGCAGAGGGCTATAGGCAAGCAAAAGAGAAAAGCTAAAATGATCCAGGTGGTAATGGATTTAAAAAAAAAACAGAGACATCAATCAGTATGATCTCATGCCCAGCTTAATGTAGATAAAGATGATGACGCATGCGCGTGCACATACACATTTATTTTATGGCAGCAGACACATTATGCATTCAGTTGACCTTGGCAGAATGCTAGGTACAGTGGTACATTCCTATAATCTCAGTTTTTAGGAGGAGGATCAGCAGATCAAGACCATTACAGCTACATAGCGAGTATGATGCCAGCATACATAAAATCCTGTCTCAAAAAATAGTACTGTCTTTGTAGAAATGGGCATAGTTAGTGGCCTATCTTCATTTCTAAATCAGTTCTAGAATGAAAGGAAAGTAGGACTCTTGAGAAATGGCTAACATACATTTCCTGCCTTGGTACTAGGATAGCAAAGTAATAACAGAGCAGATTACATCAAAAAATAAGAGAGTACTAAAAACAAACCCACAATGGCAGGGAAAACACAGTCAACACAATGACAAAACTGGAACAATTTAGGCAACAAAATTAAGACGAATAGATTAGAACCCAGAATATAAAACAATACAAATGATAGAAAGATAAATGGTGGGGAGAGAGTAGACAAAACGCCCATGGCCAGCACTCTCAAGGAGGCGGGGCATAAGTAAAGGCCTCCCGCTGCTAAAGTCACTGGGAACGTCAGAAACCCGAGCAAAAGTCACAACTAAGAGGAGCCTAGGGAGACAAGATGCCCCTCTGTAATACGATAATCTGGATGAGACATGAAGTCACACTAAGTAAATCTGAATCAAACACAAACTTGAATAAAGTTTATATGGGTGAAACGTTAACAGATATGAATTCTGAAATCTGCCCATTTTCCTATGAAGGAAAGGAAGCTTTAAGCCTGAGGATAACATAAATATGCACCTAGCTTGGTAGCTTCTACCTATAATGCAGCACTTGGGAAGATAAGGTAAGGGGGCTGCCCTGAGTTTGAGGGCTGCCTACACCACATACTAAGTACTAGGTTCGCTGGGCTACAACGTGAGACCCTGTAGAAAAACTACCAAACCAAACCAACAGTTGCTTATTCTTATTTAAAGCTGATGTGTTTTGTGGCCCCCATGGTACTTTTAATTCAGACCTTCCCCCCCACCTGGCTCCCCAAAGCAGCAAGAACCACCCATTTTCTCAAGCTAAGTGTATAGGAGAATCCTACACATTTGCTCATGTCAGACGACTTGGGGAGAAGCCTCACTGAGGGTTGCTTTGTCGGACAGTCTTCCCATGAAGCAGAGGCTAGCCTAGAATCCACTCTTCTCCTGTCTGCCGCGAGTGCTGGGATTCTGGGCCTAGATTCTGAGGTGATGATGGTGGCTTTCATCAGGAGCTAGAGTCCAACGTTTGTTACATTTCTCCTTGAAGGGCAACCATGAATTCTTCATATTTTAACATAACTGCTGTATAGTCTACTCTATACAAGGTTTCAAGTCTTGTTATGTTTCTCATTCTATCACATCTGATTATTATTATTTGCTGCTCTGACACATTCGAAAGTTACAGTGAGACTCAGTGGGTGGCATGGGAGAACACAGTCTACTCCATAACCAGTCTACGCTTTGAAGTTACCCCTGAGTTTGTCCCTAGTACCTCACTATTCTTTTTAAATTTCCTCCCACAATCTCCTCGGAACCCACTATCCCTTCCTCTTGGTTCCTTCTGTCTTTATTCAAGCCTTCTGATCTTTTGCCCAGAATTTGAAAGCAGTAAAGTTTTTACCATCCCCATATTTGCCCTCAATTTGTCCTCTGCACTGTCAATTTTCCAAAACTCAAATCTGATCATATCATTCCTCTGCTTTTAAATCATTTGTTGGCACTCTGGCTACAAGATAAGATCATAAAGTGTACACAGTGTTATGCCATCTAGGCAGCGAGCTAGATATTCTGCCTTATACCTGCTGTGCCCCCTACGGCTCCAACTGCCACCATCCACCCACATACCCCATCAACTCCAAAAGACAGACTTGGTTTCTATGACTCAGTGGGATTATGAGACAGTGCAGTGTGAGGGTCCTACGTGGATGAGCACTCCATAAAGATTGGTGGATGGATGAATGAACGAAAGGAAAGCACACACGAGTGCAGCACTGGCCTTGCCCAGGAAAGTGAGAACATCTCTGCATGCCTGCCTGTAATTCAAACTCACTTTCTCCCTCCCTCCTCCTGTGTGCTTATTTTTTCTAACTTACAGACTATCTCAGATACATTTAGCTTTGCCAAGTATAACTGATTTATTCATTCTTCATAAATCAATTCCGATATAGCCATCTAGAAAACAAGAACCACTTTACCTAACTTTTTAAGTTCCACAGAACTTAGCTTCTTTTAAGTACATGTTATCATTCCTAGTATAAAATATAGTATTTTATGCACCATATTTCAATGATTTTCTGGCCTTTTCTTTTATTATTTCACTAGGAAAACCTATGTGAAGACATTAAATAAGGAAAGAAAACTTCAAAAGCAAAGCATGAAAAATGCATTGCTGCAGAATATATGATAAGGGAACTAATTTTTGCATGTGGCTCATATAAAGAAGCCTCTTGGCCATATCTTAATAAACTACAAGAAAGAACACTTCTAAGAGTCTACGGAAAAGTGGAGGAGGACTGCTTTTTTTTAAAAAAAAAATATTCCACATTATCCTTTTTGGAGGAGGGGACATTGGTTATTTTAGACAGGGTCTCATTCATGGATCTAGAACTCACTATGTGAACTAGGTTAGCCTTAAATTTGTGGTAATCCTCCTGTCTCTGGCTCTGGAGTGCTGAGATTACAGACAATCATCACCATGCTTGAAACCCTTTTTCATATTGCTGTGTTCACTCCAACTGAGGCATGTCCTCAGGGTCCTTTCCTCTCATTCCTTTAAAGTGTGTTGGGGTATTATCTTTTAATGTGTATGGGTCTTTAGCCTGCATATATGTCTGGTGCCAACAAAGGCCATAGGGGGCATCAGAATCCCTGGAACTGGAGTTACAGACGGTCGTGAGCCTACACACTGGTGCTGGGAAGTGAACCCAGAACCTCTGCAAGAGCAGCAAGTGCTTTTAACCATTATACCATTCCTCTATCCTTGATGTATTTTATTTTGTATTTATTTTGCTGTTGTTGGTATTTTGAAACAGGGTCTCCCTGTGCAGCTCACTCTGACACTGAACTGGTGATCCTCCTGGCTCAACTTCCTGAGTGCTGGGATCACAGTTAGCTGTATCTCTATGCCCATCTGACTAACTAAAGTGTAATTCCAAGGCTGACCTTGAACTCTTGACCTTCCTGCCTTGTAGCCTCCAGAGTGGTAGGACTACAGGCATACATTACTACCTAAAAATAAAAACTAAAAAGGGAGGTTGACATGTAGCCTGGTGGTAGCATGTTTGTTCAGCACGTGTGAGGCCCTAGGTGCAATCCTGAGTACTACAAGCAGACAGATTGTCATTCTCCAGTTATGATCTACTATTTGGTTTATTTTCATCCATCCTATTACCTATCATAATGGCTATATAATAGGTATTATATGGGATTTCTACACCCACACATTCTATAGCCGTGGATTCTATTAGTGAAATGAGGATTGAAATGGCTTTAAAATGCCAGGCATCTTGGCACATGCCTCAGCAACAAGGTGAGCTCAAAACCAGCTTTGACTATTTGAGACTCTTTATCAACAAAATAAAACAAAATAATACATTTTTAAAAACTCTACCTCTGTCTGTAAAGATG